CCGCCGCCGCAACCACCGCATCCAACAGGCTCGCCGCTACTGCGCGGCTACAACCACGGCGCCAGGGGAAGGTCATTCACATTGTTTTCTCGGACCAAAGTGTCGGACCGGGTGGATTTCGGAGCAGGCGGCCCGGGTTGTCCTATTGACCGGTCAGGTGGCCGGACCTGCAGGTGCGGCCAGCGAGCGGCGAGAGCCCTCTCCGGTCCTGGTATGCCTCCGAGCCGACCTTTGCCCCGCGCCCGCCAGGACGCCAAGGAGTGTGACGAGCGTTGCGTCAGGGGCTCGTTGCAGTGACGTGGACGGCAGTGGTTCGTCCACGAGGACCTCGGCCGGGCGGGCGCTCTCCGCGCAGGACACCTGCATGCGCCTATCGCGATTGTGATACAGTTTGCGGCAGACCGGACCTCGTTCAGAACGCGAGCGCGAGCGGACACGATAAAAACCCTCCCCCCTCCCCCCTCCCCTCCCTCACCGGTGGCGCCGCGGGCCGCTCAGGCCCCCGGCAGGCCCCTTGCCATACCCGTGGCTCTTTAGCCGCTATGTTGTTGGAGACAAGCGAGTTACTGTAATAACAACTCGAAGAGAAATGCGTGCGCTCCGACAATTCGTCTTTTGGCACCGCGAATATGAATCTGGCAGGGAGAATAATGTTGCAGGCGAGAAATGTTTGCAGCAAGAGCAAGCAGGAGTCAAGCAGACCCGTCGGTTACAAACAGACTTGGAGACTAAGATTCGGACCATGGATTATAACTCGACGAGTTAGCTCTAAATGACTAGGATTTGCACGAGTGACCCCTTTTAGACAACTTGAAAATTTTTGACCTCAACCCAAGCGACAGAGATTGGTCACGAAACTTCAAAACGATCTCTCGTCACGCTGAATCGTGGTCCATTCAATAGCAGCACGCCCAGCCACACCCAGACAAGTGCAGCCCCCCAAACGCGCCGTCAAGGTAGGCAACCCAACAGCCGGCGCCAGGTGGGCGGCCTGCGCACCGGGCGTCCGCCGCGTGGTCTGCGCGGTCTTCAGGTGAGCGATATGGGCTGCCTAACTCACCGGGTGATCTCGCCGAAGAGGGGGCGCTTGAGATGAGTAAAGCTACCATGAACAGGCTTGCCTCATCCATGGGTATATGATCTCTAGGCGTGTGCATGGGATTTGCTTTTATGGGAGCAAAATCGAGCAAAATTGCCCATCGGGCGTATAACGACTCCGCGATGTAAACGCCAAACTCCCAAAACCAAAGTAACACTACGCGTTTTACCGTTTCTTCCTTACATTTCAGAGGCGTCTGCTTAGGGACGACTCGGGGTTGTTGCGAGACAAATAAGAAACCGGACCTCAGTATATCCACACCTCATGTCGCATGCAATGTTTTTTTTCTCCCCTCCTCCTGGTTTTTGCTCACTGCAAAACAGGAACGAGCAGAACACCGCAGGCCCCCCTGCCGCCTTGCCGCTTACTCCTGGATCTCTGCCGATGATCGCCCGCCAGTCGCTTACTGGGAGGCTGGTGGCGTGCATCGTGCCGTTCCGGAGGAGCTGGTGTAGGTGCCAGAGTAACGTCCAACAAGGAGGAGGCCCTGGAGACCTGCAGCCCGCGGAGCTGAGGAGGATGCAATGATACCCGGTTTGAGAATGGTCAAGAGCGGTGCTGCGATAGTCAAGGTCGAATGGGTCCTGTGCCTCCTCTTCTGTACAACCGTGACGACAGTCCTGACAGGTAACGTCTGGGCATCCCAGAGAGTCTTAATTGATAATTGTTTCATCACCCAAGTGGTGTTGTTCGCCGGTGCGTGTCAGCGAAGCTTGCGGCTTGTGGCGCCGGAGAGGAAGTGAGCTAGTGGTTGCTCGTACGCCCGTCTACCTGGATTTCAAACCTTCAATTATTGTGTCAAAAATAATTTTGTTCTGAGTCAGGAACAAAGTATTGTCTACGGCTCTAAAAGTTATTGAGCTCATATGACACGACATTTTCACACCGAGGGGGAGGGGTTCTTTTCCTTCAGGTTCAAAAGTGCCATAGGTCATAGAAACACAATGGTATATGTGCGCCTCATCTACGTTACTTGCTAACCCATCACAACTGCGACGTCCGCGACGTCACATTGTATTGGACGGTTGTTGCCCCAGCCGGAAACCGGTCTGCGAAGTGATTCTCAGGGGCACCCATGACGTCTCCAGATGCTGGATATATCCACCCGATTCAGGCAGAGGAATAACAATACCTGTGCACGCCTGTTTACGCCTGCAGCCCTGTCTGTCCGTGTTGTAAAAAACATTTCGCCGTTTTCTGTAAAACAATAAAAGTCACTGATAATTTCTCCCTCTTAGCGTCCTGCCCGTCCCTCAAGTCGAAGACTGTGCTGGTGAGCTGCGTCTCGAAGGGCAGCCCCTTCAACTGCACGGAGCAGCCGTCCCCGCCAGGCACCGTCGCCACCTTCCGCTGCAAGCACCTGCACCAGTTCCTGTTCGGCTACCTGCCACCCACCGGCTATGAGTCCCGCTGTGGGGATGACGGCGAGTGGAGCGTGCAACCCTTCCGATGCGTCCCAGGTTTACTATTCCTTATTGAGCAAAACAAACATACAAACATAATGACACACGCCGGTCGCCCGCTCTGCGCTGTAGATAGCAAGGAGGCGACTTTTCCTTCTGGCAGAGACAGTCTCTTGGGGACTGTCTAAAAAGGTAGTCTACGTACGGCACGCACAATTTGCGGTTGCGGTGGCTTACACTGTGCCGCATGCAAGCGCGTAGTCAGGTTGCTTACTGGTACGGGGGCTGTGCAGCGCGTGGCTCGTAGGAAAGCCAGCCAGCCTGTATTCAAAACAAGCGAAACTGCAAATGCGAAGGCCTCTGCCTCGAGGCTTCAATTTCTCGATCGATCCTCCACATTTGAACCCTGCTAGTAATCCGAACGAACACCTTTAATTGTAGTATGTGGCCGACCGACTGGCAAGCCGACGGCGTTCGTGCGCGACGGCGAGAAGGTGTCCTCGGCGGCGGACTACCCTTGGCACGTGACCATCTACGACGTGACCCTGGACATGAGGCAGATCTGCGGGGGCTCGCTCATCACGGCCAAGTTCTTCGTGTCCGGTGAGTGGAGAGAAGCGCGCCATACTGCCAGTATACGAGGGGTGAACGAGCGCGAGCCCTTAGTGACTCGAAGATATGTTTCAGCCGCGCACTGCTTTCACGACAACGTCGCCAAGCCGCTTCCCCCAGAGCGATACGTCGCGGCCTTCGCGAGGACCAAGCGCGACGTCACGATAGATGAGCCTAACGTGCAGTACAGGCAGGTGCGCCCAGGATGTTACGATGGGCGAAAGTTATTCGCCACACTCTTTAAAATCCAAAATACAGGTACTTCGAGTCAAGTGCGTTTTCGTGAGAGAAAAAAGTCATTTTACTCGATGTAACACAAGAAAGTGCTCTTGATTTCAAGTACCTGCTCTTTGAGGTATACATTTCGATCGACTAAACTGAATATCCTTTCTGGTGCAGCTGGCCAAGATCCACATGAAGGATTACGGCGCCAAGAAGCTGCAGTACGCCAATGACATCTCGCTCGTGGAGCTGGACAACGAGGTCGACGTGACGGCCTGGACGCTGCCCGTGTGCGTCGACTGGGGCCTGGAGCTGTCCGACCTCCGCCACGGCCAGGAGGGCACGGTAGGGTCCGGCTGCGCGGCAACAGCCGACACCAGACCGGAACCTTTTAATTTTTATTCTTCAAGTATACATGAACATGTTTGGCCTCTCCTCAGGTGGTGGGTTTCGGCTACACAGCCGATGTGGCGAGCGACGAACTTAGGTTCGCCAAGCTGCCCTTCATCCGAGGCGAGGAGTGCAGAAAGCAAGTCACGGACAAGCTCGCCATCTTCTCCCACCTGCCGGACAAGTTTTGCGTCGGCTTCGTCAACAGTAAGAGCGAGTAAAGAGTGGTAATTCTCCTCCCGCCTTTTGCGCGTTCGCCATAACGCTTTCTTGTTGCCCCGCAGGCACGTCGGTGGCCCCCGGGGACAGCGGTGGCGGCATGGCCTTCCCGTCCGACGACCGCATCTGGTACCTCCGCGGCGTGGTGTCGGTCGGAAGCTCTTTGGAGACAACCGTATCGTACTTTACCAATGTCACCGCCTTCGTGCCGTGGATCTCCAGTGTCATCCAGGAGGGCGAGGTGGGCACCCCAAACGTTCCCGTTTCCCGTTAGCAACCACCCTCGCGCGAGCGCCCCAGGGTAGGCCGTCAACTCCACACAGGTGCTTGGCGGGCTGGCCTACTCAGCCCCTTGCAGGCGCTATCGTTAGTGAGGTCCAGGCGGACGTCAACTTGGGGAACGTTTGTAGAGTTGGGGGCCTGGTATGAACGGCATCAATAATACCCCCCCCCCCCCCGGGCTTCCAGGTGACAGGTCGGCGCTGCGGCGTGGACGTCACCGAGTCCAGCGTGGTGGACGGAGCCAAGGTGGGCCGCAAGGACTTCCCTTGGGAGGTGGAGGTCTACTACAAGCGAGCCTCGAACCGCAACTTCGAGAGGCTGTGGTCCGCCGTGCTGGTGCAGCCCAACCTCGCCATTACGAGTGAGCATCGAGCCGAAACACTAACGACTTATTGTTTTGCAAATCCTCCCCCCACCTCCCTCTGACCCTACATGCGTTTACAGCCGTGTTACAGGAGGTCCGTCCAGGTCGACAGATAGACATGTCGGAATACCCAACTCCGTGGCTCCGGGTGGTGTCTCGACGAAACACGAACTCTTTTGACATATCTGACGCTGCCAATGTCAGTGAGGTAAAGGCTGACGCTCTACTCGTCCCGAAAACGCGATTCAGTGAATCGTAATTGCGAGGTCTGAGAAGCCTCGCGAAAGTCGTGGTTGACTTTCCTTCCATTTACAGGTAGTCCGCGCCTTCTATCCAGACGACGTTTTTATAAACTCTGCCCTGGTCTACAACTTTATCCTGCTCGAGCTGAAGCAGCCCATAAACGTGATGCCCGTCTGCTTGGACTGGGCGGGAGCTGCGCTCATTCAAAACCGTCAGATTGGGACGGTTAGTATACTGCGGGCTGCGCGTAGCCCTGCCCCGTGCGTTCCATTCATGCCCTGTTACCGTTTCTCGCCGTCGCTGCCCGACAGACCATCCAGGAGGCCCCGGGCTCCAACGCCCCGGTGTGGCGGCGGTACCCGCTCGTGGGGCCGGCGCGGTGCAGCGCGATGCTGGAGTTCGCGAGCGAGAACCAGAACATCTGCGTGGAGAGCGCCGGCGCCGAGGAGCCGCCGCTGCACCAGAGCCTGCTGGTCAACGTGGACAACACCTGGTTCCTGCGGGGCGTGATGTCTGCGTTCCGCGAGCGCTCCGCCACCGGGTACACGATCCAGTACACGGACATGGGCGACCCGGGCGTCATCAAGTGGCTCGCCAAGACCAGAGACTCTCTCGGCAAGCCCACCGTGAGTGAGTTCCACCACCCCAAGGGCGGCTAGCCCTTACAGCGGCAGCGCGAGGTATACAATAGCCTTTGTTTGCAGTGCGGCAACATCAACCTGTGCGAGCCGCTGTCCGCCGGGATGGCGCTGCCCGGCCACTTCCCGTGGAACGTCGCCGTGGTGGTGGACGAGGGCGGCAAGAGCGTGGTCCGGGGCTCGGGGCTGCTCATACAGGCGAACGCCGTCCTAACAGGTGAGCGTCGTGGCTCTGTTTAGAAAGTCGCGCGGTTACTTCGTGGACTCCCGGAGAACTGACCCCACACCCCCTCCTCAGACGTGGCCCACATCATGAACGAGACGGGCGTCAACACGAAGCAGGGCCTGCCATTCGTCTCGCCCGAGAGCATCTCGATCCTGTGGACGGACGACGAGGGCACCGCCATGCGCAGCGGCGTGGTGCGGCTGGAGGTGCGCGACGGCCCGCCGGGCGGCATCCGCTACGTCGTGGCCCTCCTGGAGGTGGACCCCAAGGAGTCCATCTACGCGACCCCCGTGTGCCTCGACCTGAGCGGCACGATGCTCGAGCAGCTCGGCCCCGGCCACCTGGGGGTGGTGGAGGCGTGGCGGCGCTGGGCGCCGGCCAACCACACCCTGGTGGCCTCGGAGTACAGGGGGCGCACCGACTGCTACGCGAGGCTGCAGGAGACCAGCAGGCCGCCCGAGTACACGGCCCGCACCCAGTTCTGCACCTCCGCCGACAGGGAGATCGTAGGTACAGTGAGCAGCTCTGAGCCTTCCCGCTGCCGCGCTGTCGCCAATCAAACTATTTTATTCAGTACCTTGGGGATTATCCACAAAGTACGTCCGTGATTCGCTGTTCCGAAACCACTAAGTTCAGCGTGTGCTAGCTCTCGGAGCGCCTGGTGGGTAGGCAACTTCTCGTATGTTGTGCATGTGTGTTCTGCGGGCTGGCCTACCTTGAGCCTCGCAGGGGCTCATTTCCCATTTTTCGCTGAACGAATCTTAGAAAAATAGGACGTACTTTCTGGATGGTGCCTTGCGCGACGTCCTGTTTGTGGCCACATTAAAGGTGCCGGGAAGATCCTTTCCTCCGGCAATATGTCACAACCGACGCCCCAATAAGCCAACGCCCCTTCTGTAACTAAACAATTAGCTACGATCGAAACGACCGGATGCAGCTTCATCCGAACCGAAACTGTCGGCCCTGAGATCGACTACCGACCGAGGCAAACTTTTTTTTTTTTTGTCGCTTCTCGTCTCCCGTGAGGCAGGACTGATTTCCGAACTCGAACCGGGCAGGGCTCTTTAGCAGCCGAGGGTGATAAGGCGTGTTCGTTGGCAGAGCTTGGGCTAGTCGGTGGTTCGAATCCCGGTCGCGAAACATTTTTCCCGCTCTGCTGGCCAACTGTCTTCGCGCGTCAGCGACAACTGAGATCCGAATGTCACCGGGAGCAGCAAACACTATCGTTCATCCGTGGTTTAGTCGGTAGCATGCCGGCCCGTTGCGAGCCTGGTCGCGGGTTCGAATCCCACCCTGAGTTTACTTTTCACGCTCCGTTGAGCATTTGTTTTCCGCCGTGCAACACCTGATGTGATGGGCAGGTACGCAAACAGTCGCTGGTTCGAATCTCGTCGACGGAACCCTTTTGCCAATCTGCCCCTCATGTGTTTTCGGGTGTGAGCCACAGCGGAGATAAGCCTAACCTGTTCAACAACATCGTTGGATCAGTTGGTAGAGAGCGCGCTCCGGGCGCGGATGTTCGCTAGTTCGAATACTGAGTTTTTTCCGGCATCCGAATGAATTGACTAAACCTGCTGCGAGACCAGACAGACTACGTACTCGGCAGGTCCCGCAGGTCGCGCAAAAAAATCTCGCCCCTAACAGGAGTCGATCCCTCTCCCGTTGGCGTCCGGGTGACCAAGCGCTGGCACGCTCACCACTCGGCTGTCGGCACCACCTGCCGGTGTTGAGTTTAGATCTTGGTGCCGCCTTACGGGCCCTTGGTGTTCCGTAAAGCAGGCGGTCAAGTCCACCTCCTCGTCGCGCTGAAGCCCGGGTCGGATAACACGGAACATGGTCAAGAAACGTCCTGATTCAAGATTCAAGGCGCGCGGAGGGCCGTTCAGTCGAC